AATCTTTTAAAAAAAAGTTTTAATTTCTCTAGGATAAATACCCAGGGTACAGCTGCTAGTTGTGTGGTAATTGCATATGTAGTTTTGAATAGTGATTGTACCCTTGATACATTTCTGTCAGCAGTGGGTGAATGATCAGTGTCTTATCCTCACCAGCATTTAAAAAAATTTGACCCATTATAATCTGCGTGTAGTGATGTCTCATTTTTTTGAATTAAGACTTTATTTTTTAAAGCAGTTTAAGTTTCACAGCAAAACTGAGGGGTAGGTACAGAGATTTCCCAAATATTCTTGACCCCTCACATGCATAGCCTCCCCCAATATGAGCATCCCCCACCAATTGATGATCCCACAGTAACACATCATTATCACCCAAAATTCATAGTTTACATTAGGTTGCACTCTTGGTGGTGTTTATTCTGTGAGTTTGAATAATGTGTAATGACACTTATTCATCATTATGGTGTAATACAGAATTTTTTCACTAAAAATCCTCTTTCCTCCACTTCTCCCCATTCCCAGCTGCTGAAAATCACTGATCTTTTTACTGTCTATATAGTTTTGGCTTTTCCAGAATGTCACATAGAATCATACATTATGTAGCCTTTTTAGATTGACTTTTTTTTTCCCTTAAAATATGCATTTAAGGTTTCTTTATGTCTTTTCATGACTTGTTAGCTCATTTCTTCTAAATTTTGAACAATATTCTATTGTCTGTATGTACCACAGTTTATTTATCCATTCACCTACTAGAGGATATCTTTTTGGTTGCTTCCAGTCTTTGGCAATTATGAATAAAACTGCTGTGAAAATCCATGTGTGGGGTTTTATGTGAACATAAGTTTTCAACTTTTTTGAGTAAATACTAAGGAGTGTCATTGATGGATCCTATGGCAAGAGTATGTTTAGTTTTGTAAGAAAGTGCCAAACTGTCTTCCAAAGTGGCTGTGCCATTTTGTATTCCCACTAGAAATGAATGAGAGTCTCTGTTGTTCCACATCCTACCAGCATTTGGAGTTGCCAGTGTTCTGGAGTTTGGTCATTCTTATAAATGTGTATTGGTATCTCATTGTTGCTTTAATTTTCATTTCCCTGGTGATATATGATATGCAGCATCTTTTCATATGCTTAGTTGCCCCCTGTTTATATTCTTTGGTCAGGTGTCTATTACGGTCTTTGGCCTATTTTTTTTTTTTTGAGCATTTCTTTTAAAAAATTTTTGTTAAAGATTTTATTTATTTACTTTTAGGGAGAGAAGAAGGGAGGGAAAGAAACATCATGTGCAAGAGATACATTGATTGGTTGCCTCTTGCATGCCCCCAACTAAAGACCTGGCCCAGAACCTAGGCATGTGCCCTGATGTGCCCTGGGTATTGAACCTCAACCTTTTGGTACGCAGGCTGGCGCTCAATCCACTGAGCCACACCAGCCCTGGCTGGACCATTTTTAAATTGGGTTGATTTCTTATTGTTGACATTCAGTTGTTTGCATGTTTTAGATAACAGTCCTTTATCAGATGTGTCTTTTGCAAATCATTTTCCTCCTACGGCTTCTCTTCTCATTCTTTTGATATTCTTTACAGAGCGGAAGTTTTTAATTTTGATTAAGTCCAGGTTATCAGTTATTTGTTTCATGAATTGTACCTATAGTGTTGTATCTAAAAAATCATCACCATATGCAAGGTTATATAGATTTTCTTTTACGTTATCCTCTAGGCATTGTATTGTTTTTATGTTTTACATTTAGGTCTGTGGTCCATATGCATTAATTTTTTTGTAAATTGTGTAATGTCTGTGTCTAGATTCTTTTTTTTTTTTAATTTTTGTATATGGCTATCCAATTGTTCCAGGACCATTGTTGAAAATGTATCTTTTCTCCCTTGTTTTGATCATTTTGGAAGATCTTGTTTGTATTCAGGGTAAAATAAAGGCGAAATAACAGTAATACTTAGAGATTGTAAACACCATGAGAAATTGTTTAAAAATAGAGCTCTTTTTCTAAACTATGTAACACATATGACTTAAAATCTTTTAAAAGCTTTTTTCCTTTATTTTTATTGTTGACACTATTACAGCTATCCCCCTTTACCTGCCTCCCCCCAGGCTCCCACCTTTTCTCTGGCCATCATAAATTATTATTGTTTTAATTTGAACTTTCTATAATGGTTTAATATTGTCCATTATTTATTTTGTATTTAAATTATGCTAAAACTAATTTATTCACATTCTTTATTTAACTCACAGTCTTTTTTTTTTCTGGTTGAATAATGCTTGTGACTCCTCAATTTTTTTCCTTTTAAATCTGTAGTTTTAGTTGTTACTGGCCACTGCCCAGCCATAAAAACTCTTCCAGTCCAGTTCAACCATTTAAAATAGGTATGATTTTGATTAGGGTTTGTATTAGTTTCCTCCTGCTGCTGTAACAAATTGCCACAAACTTGGTAACTTAAAACAACATGAGTTTTTTCTTTTACTTTTCTGGAGAACAGAAGTCAGAAATGAGTCTTAAGGGCATAAAACCAAGGTTTGATTTTTTCTGATGGCTTTTAGGAAGAAGCTCCTTCTTTGCTTTTTCCAGCTTCTGGAGTCATCCTCAATTTTTGGTTATTAGCCCTTCATCACATTGCTGTTTCTTTTTTTTTTTTATTGTCACATTGCCTTTTCTGACATTACTCCTCCTGCTTCCCTTATCAGATGCTCATGGCTATATTAATAGGGGTCATCTGGATAATCCAGGATACTCTTCCATCTCAACCTTCTCAGCTTAATTATGTCTGAAAACTCCCCTTTGCCATGTAAGGTAACATATTCACAGGTTCTAGGGATAAGGACCTGGTCAACTTCAGGAGACTGTTATTCAGCTAGCCTCACATAGAGTTTAACATATAATACAGTAAATGCTTTTTACTCCCATAAACAGATTTCTAAAAATTTTGTTGAGAGTTTTCAGTTAATATTTCCTTCTTTTTATAATTATGATGTCTTATTTGCCATTTAACTTTTTAAATTTTTTTTGGCATTTTACCCATTTGTTTTTAGGAAATTTGTTTGCAAAAGACCACTGGCAACAGTAATTATTTTAGAATGTTATGATTTTCATGTATACTTTCCTATTGATTTTGTCCACATTTGTGAAATCATTCACCATTTTTTGGACTGATCTGGCAGATGTACATGAAAATACATCTTTACCATTTTACCTTATATATTTTAAATTGTTCCTTATACTGTCATTGTTGTGAATCTTGTGGTAGCTAGGAAATGCAAAGAAGGAAATGTCAGGAAGCTTTAGGTTCATATGAATGTAATTTTTTTCCAGAACTTGGTCCTTATGAGTTTATATTTATAAAAGTGATTGTTTTAAAAACAAACTTTTTATGAAGAGAATCACTGAAAAATAAAAAGAAATTATAACAAATTTATTTTGAAATGGAGATATCATTAAATAAGCAAATACATGAATTTGTCAGAAAATTTCTGTGTATCTAGAATACAGGTTATAGATTGTTGAGTGAAGATGATATAAATAATGATTGCTGTTTTCTGAATTTTTACTTTAGTACTTTGCTAATGATTTTTCAAATGTTATTTTGTTGAATTCTCAGAACAACCCTGACAGTAGGTACTGTTATTATCATCAATATTTCCCAATGATGAAACTGAAGATGAGAAATGCAAAGGGATGAAGTCATGAAGTTGAATCTGTTCAAATTCAGTATAATTGCATTCTTTTTACTATGTCATGATGATTTTATTTCGGAGGTATTCATCAGCTCTGACAGCATAGTATATCCCTTTTCGTTATTTTTGTTATTAACTTCACGGTTTAGAGTGATTTGTCTTTTGAACATTGCTTGGTGTTTTTACAAATAAACTTCATCACTAGTTCTTTCCAACATTTCACTCAATTTTCTATCTTTTTTGTTAGGGTACTCTCCTACTTGTAATATGATTAAGGAGATTTCAGCTTTCTTTATAGATCAACTGAGGTTGCATCCTACTCAATTTGATTGGAATTGAATTTCAAAATATTAATCAGCATCATAGTTATAAGTAAATCTCTCTTAGTGTGCATTCCTTCTGCTTACGATTATTTACTTAGTTTATGCTGATCCTTTTAAGTTCCATTTTAAGAAGGTAACATTCTGACCTTATTCTTTAACTTTGAAGCTTTCTCTACTGATGATCTATTGTTTCTTACATATAAATAACTTCCTTTAGTAGTACATGACACAGTTCTTTAATATATTAATACACTATGTATGGCAGTGTTTCCAGAGGTATTCTTCATCACCACTACCTTTTTCTCTTTTTGTTGTTGTAGCTTAAATGTGGATGAGTTAGTTTGAAATATCCCCTAGGGGTAGCCTCCAAGGAGTAAAAAGTCACAACAAGGCAACATGTGGACCATGTAGTTATCTAAATGAAGGCTTGGGAAGTCTGTTGTCTTTATAGTGATGACATTGGAAAGATTTGGGAGACTTATGCTCATTCCCTTACTCACAGCTCAGCCCAGCTTCCCCCAAATTGAAACACACACCCCTCACAATGCACAAACAGTTTGGTCCCAGGCTGTCCACTTGATTTGATTTATTTTACTCTGTGTACAGATTTGACTCTAGCTATATTACATTTGAGATATGAAATAAATTTAAGATTCTGCTTCAGTCATGTTAATTCATTTTAGGCCCTATGCTTCTGGTCTTAAATGTCTATAATCTGTGAGGTAGATGGTTTAGCTGTAAAATAAAATGAATGCCATAGATCAAAATATATTTGAAAGCATCTTGAATTTGGTTTTTGCTTCCAATATTTTCTTTCATTTTGTTAATGCTAGCATTTAATAACTACTGTGAGGATTCAAAATCTGTTTAGTTTTATAGTTCTTCTGATTTAGTAGGACTCACAAAGGTGAAAACAGAAGAATATTTTTGGGTTTCTTTAAAGTCTGTATTTCTTAAAGAAGTCCAGATAATTAATATTTAATGTGTTCTTTTTTAGTATTGTGCTTCTGATAAGCCAAAAACAGACACTTGAAGAGCTGAAACAGTCAGTGCAGCAGCTGAGGTGCACCGAGGAAAAGTTTACAGCACAGAAAGAATTACTAGAGCAAAAAGTGCAAGAAAATGATGGAAAAGAGCCACCTCCGGTAATAAATTATGAAGAAGATGCACGATCAGTTACATCTATGGTAAGCCAAAGAGTAATCAAACAAGAAGTCCAAAAGAGTCGTATATAGGTAATAAGTGAATACAAAAGTTGATTCTGGTTTACTATAACAAATTGTTACTCTTGTTAATATGCAGGTCCTATTAAACTTGTTTGTAAATGCAAAATAGACTTGTCAGTCACCTTCAGGTCACTTGGAGAGCACTTTCAGGAACCATCTATAGAGTCAGAGGAAAAAGCTCTTCTCTTGCCTTCAAAACTGAAAACAAAGACTGCAGTTGTTTTTATTCCTGGGAGACAGCAGGAAGGTAGGGTATTATTCTTAAGATAGAAGTAAGAAATAAGGAGAAAGTTATTTATTGTTAATTTTTTCTTCTTAAGAACAGCAGAATCTTTTTTATCTGTGTTTTCACAATAAGGTTTTTTTCTTACAGATATATTTAAACTATAATAAACACATTTAAGTCCACCAACTAGAAATTAAACTTATTTCATGTAGCTTTATTAACTGTTTAAGAATGCCTAGTACAAAAATACTTTCCCTCTCTCCCTTTATTCCTTCATTTCTTTCTTCCTTTCATCTTATGTTGGTGGTTCTCACCAAGGGGCAATTTTACTCCCCTCACCCTGGAGATATTTGGTAATCTTTCAAGACATTTTTGATTTTCATAGTTAGTAATTGCTATTGTTATTTAGTAGGTAGACTCTGGTGATGCTGCTAAGCATCCTGCAATGTACAGGACAGCCCCACCCTTCACATACAGAACAAAAAATTAATCCAAATGTCAGTAATGCCAAGGTTGAACAAGCCTGAGCTATATCCTTGGCTTTTTCTGTGGGTAGCTGGATGCAGTCTACATTAAGAACCATCATAGATGTTACAGTTAATATTTAATAACTTTTAGTTTATGTGGTTCTGAATAGTGTGGTTTGAGTATTAAACAGCCAAAAGTCTCATAGGAAGAAAAAAATCTGTGTTTGAAAATGTGATAAATGTGGAAATGAATATGAAGTATTAAAATATTGTGATTATTGCCATTTTTGTTATTAACTGAGTCAGAGTAATTTTTACATTATATTGTGAATTATAATTACAGTTCTTTGCTCTCCTTTACTGTCCTGTCAGATAAAAAAGACCCTACTGGAGTTCTGTTCTTGCTTTATGATCTTGGATTACTATCTGGCATATGCATTCCTTCAGAGAAACTTCTGAAGTTTTTTCATTTACTTTGTTTTTGGAAACCTTAGCTAGTAAATGTTTTGTGTTTTGAGTGTGGTTTATAATATTTCTTTGTCTCATGTGGGTGTTGAAAAATTGGTTACTTTATAGCTTTAGGCAGATAGGTTAAAACTGGCAATCTAACTATTTTTAGTAATTCTGTGTGCATATGATCCCCTGTTGGCATTATTATTATGATAGAAAAAAAGACGTTATTAAAGTCACTAGATGTAGCTTATCTCCACTTGATAACTACAACTAAAAACTTCATTTTGACATTTAAAATATACTAGTTGCCATGGCTGATGTGACTCAGTGGACTGAGCGCTCACCTGCAAACCAAAGGGTTGCCAGTTTGATTCCCAGCCGGGGCACATGCCTGGGTTGCAGGCCAGGTCTCCAGTAGGCAGCGCGTGAGAGGCAACAACACAATGATGTTTCCCTCCCTTTCTTTCTCCATCCCTCCCCCCTGTTAAAAATAAAGAGAATCTTTAAAAAATAAAATAAAATAAAATATACTAGTTCATTAATTTTTATTTATTAGAACTCATGATCATTTAGGCTTTTTTATCTTTCATAATAATTGAAAAGAAGCTTTTTAAATAAATGAATATATAAGGTGTCAGAGAGAATGTATAATAAAGTTTAAACTCTATATACATTTCAAACTGTATATACTTCCTGACATGTTCACATTTTCTCTTAAAACAATTTATTCAATAATGATAATACCTTGTAAAGTTTTACAAAGTGATGCAATATATTTCACTTTACTGAATTTATTTTAAATAGTTGAAAATTTAATTATAAATATATCATCTATTCATTGAAGCAGTGACTTTAATTCTTTAAGGAAATTACAAAGGAATACTATAATATACAGTTATACCTTGGTACTCATCAGCTTCAGAACTCATCAAACCCTGTATTTGCATTTTGACGAGAAAAAAATATTTCAGCACTTGGCACTTGCTCAGAACTCCATTGCACTTGCTAGAACTTGTATGAGTCATGATGCCACACAGCAAAAAAAAAAAAATGCTTCATAACTCCTCACGTTTGTGTTTGGTACTCATCAGTTTTTGCACTTGTCACGAGTTCCAGGATGCATTAAAGATGACTTCAGAGATATGACTGTATGTAGTTTAAAGTAATAAAATAACATTTTATAACTAAGTCATTCCCCAGATTGATGACAATTGATGTGATTTTACAGAGTATTTTATAAAACAAGCAGAAGTATTTGTGGTGCATAGTTTTTAAAACTTAATAATTTAAAAATAACTTAAATTTAAAAAATTGTTACATAATTAAGCATTATTTTATGAATACTAATTTTTAAAGAGCCTGAAATTAACATAAGCAAATCCGTCCTCTTTATAAATTTCATCCTCATAAGTGGTGCAAAATTTCAACAAGGAAACAGTTGAATATTGGAAGAATTGAAAAAACTAAAAATCAAACTATGATGTGATGGAAAATAGTGAAAACTGGCTTAAATGTTATGAAGAGTAGAGAGACAATTAACTATTCTACATGATCCTAATTAATGGCCGAGTTAACCAAAACATTAATTCTTCATGGATGAATGCTTCTATAGAACTATAGTGCCTAAAGAACTATGCCACTGAAAATGAGTGGGCCCTGGATTGTGTATTCTTATAAAAATTCCAAGGTGATTCAGAAGTGTAATCAGAGTTTGGATTATATAGTCAGGTTAATAGATGTATTGATGTTTATTTTGGCAATGCAATTTGATGAAAATTAAAGCCCATGTATTAATTCACAGAAACCTTTAAATATTTTTTGCAGCAGATAATATAATCATCTCTGTCATGAAGAATTGTGCTTCTAATGGTGTCTTTTTTCACCATGTCTAATTTTGCCCAAAATACAAAGGAGAAACTGATAAATATTAGGTATCACACAACAATTATTTATAATGGGAGATAATAAATGCCAAGGTGTAGGAACAGAGCAGGGTAGAGGGGTGGGGATCTAGAGGGTCAGAGGTCGGGACACAGTCTTAAATGAAAGTCAGGATAAGCATCATTGAGAATGTGACATTTGAAGAAAGACTTGAAACAGGGTGCTCTTAAGCTACTTAATTTCTGGGGAAGGAACATTCCAGTCAGAAGGTATATTCCTTGCAAAGACTATAAGACAGGAACATGTTTGTAGTATTCAAGGTATGGTAGGAAAGTCTGAGTGGAGGGGAAACTGAGAATATAGGGAATGCCATGAGAGAAGTAATGGAGAACAGATCTCAGGGCCTTGCAGACTCTAATTAAGGATTTTGGCTGTTCCCTGTGTGAAATGGGAAGTCTTTGGGTTGGGGAGGAGGTTATGACAGAGTAATGACATGCTCTGAGTTTTGATTTAAATGGATCACTATAACTGTGTTGAGAATATACTTAAAAAGAGCAAAGATGGAAAAATGCTAACCCAGGCAATAGAAAAATGATGCTTTGATTAAGGGTAATGGCACAGAAGTGGCATGAACTTTTCAGCTTCTGGATATATTTTGAAGGTTGGGCGCATGACATTTCCTGTGGATTAAATGTGGAGTATGAGAGAGAAGAGTCAAGGATGTCTTTAAGGTTTTCAGCAGGGACATTAGAAGAATGGAATTTGTTTCAAGTGCATGAATAGAACAGCTTTGATGAGGAAGAACAAGACATGTCTTTCATAAAAACAAGTATTTGGGCCTGAAGTTCAGGAGCATGATTTGAACTAGAGCTATAAATTTGAGAATTGTAGGCATCAGATGGTATTTAAACTCATTTGACTGTGGGGTGTCACCAAGTGAGAGAGGATAGATAGAGGAGGAAAGAAACAAAGACCACTCAGGAGCCCTTTGCATTACAGATCTAGGAGAGAAGCAATCACTAAGAGACTGAGAAGGAGAGACCAGTGAGGTGGTACAAGGGAAATTCAAAAGAATTTGGTGTCTTTGAAGTGTTTTACAGGGAAATAATTTGCTGGGTTACATGCTGGGTTAAGGCAAAAAAAGATGTATGGACTGCAGTAATTTTCTAAACTTTTAATATCAGGTGCCCAAGAGGGGAAATATAACATGGAATACAGTGTCTTTAGAAATATTGGCCTAAACCCCTTTCTAAGAAGAGTCCTGAAGGGACAGCCGTACAATGGATCACACTTTGGGAAGTGCTGAAATTAGAAGATAAATCCTTTCTTATGTAATTGGGTTATTGATGGATTAAATGTGCTAATAATTCTGAAGGCATTTTGAGTTGTTTAAATGCTCTATAAACCTAAGGATTATTTTCTTTTCAGCTTCAGTTCTAGCTTGGCAGGGAAGAAGAATTTACCTTCTGGGGTAAACCAGGAGGGTGAACTCTTTGTTAGCTGCCCTAAATGATGATAGAAATACCAGAATTTTCTGATCCCCGAGTCAACATTGGCTGATGTTCCTATTCATTTTATTTATTTATTCAAGAACATCATTTTCCTTCATTTTCTTTTAGCTGCCTAGTTGTAAGAATACAAATTTTCAATCAGTATCTGTTGAATTGAGGAATTGGACTTCCTTTTCACCCCCGAGTAACTTAGTTATTTTACATTATATAAGCATATGCTTTGAACTAACTGTATCATAATTTTTTAAAGGAATCTATAACTACCTCATTTGCCAGGATTTCTATGATGCTGAAATAAGATAATGTGTATAAACATATTTTGTACATTATAAAATACTGTTATAAAATACAAAATTCCATTTCATTTTTTCTAATGTACCTTAGATAACATGAGTTTAATTAGTAGATATTAATTGAGTCCTT